ATATGCTAACATTCCAAGGGCTTCCTCAAGTTCCCTTTTTTTGGGCCTCGGCAGTCTCAATGGAACCCACCCCTGGCCCCATTGAATGTTTTGCTATCAAAGTCACCCTCTAAGTGGTAGCTTAAAGGGAAACCATCTCATTTTCTGACTCCGATATCGTCCCTCCCAAATGGGGGAGTGACAACGCCGGCTGCTGAAGGCGGTGGCCGAGTTGAACGACGATGAGCTGCAAGCGCTGGCAGAGCAGGTGCAGCTTCAGCAGCTCGGGCAATCTCTGTCCGTGTGCTGAAACGACTTATTTTGTTGCTTCTAGATTGTCTCCTGTCGGTTTTAAAGCAGGAATGGATCAGATGTGGCGTCCACCCCTTTCTTCCATTGGTTTTGGGTTGGTTCACTAAACAAAAGTCAAGCCAAGCAAGGGTTCCCTGTTTCTACTCACTTCCTGAGTCCCTGGATATTATTTTTTGTTTGGACCATTTTAGTGGTAAACAGCAGTTCGATTCCTTTGCTTGGGCAATCCACTTCCTGAGTTCCTGGAGGTTATGTTTGTTCGGTTTGGACCATTTTAGTGGTAGACAACAGTTCGGGTAGTTTGCTTGTGTTTTGTCTTTTTTACAGACACAAACAAGTATTATTCATTGTTGAAACGGTTTGTGGCTAACCAGGTGTGGCTAATCTATCACTCCCTTAGCTTTTGGACTGTGTACGTCCATTTGCTAAAATGGATATTGTTTTTTTTTGTGCCATGCTTTTCAAGGGATTCGAACTCACAATTGGAAATATGCTTTTTCGCCAGCGGACGAAAAAGGACATATGATGCTGGCCCAATGCTACCAATGGATGCTGGGTGGTCGATGTACCCTCAACGTGGTGTAAACATGCTGGTGGCCCATCACACCCCCCTTCTTAGTAGGTGACTCGGCCTTTTGGCGCTACGTTGTTTTTAATCCTAACCACAGGGAAATTCCCGGAAAAGAGCCTTGGAAACCAAAGGGGCTGTAGATTCCCGGATTTGTTTGAGCAACCCGCAGCCTCACCCTCTAAACCATTCTTGGTTGCTTCGCTAGGAACTGTCAACCCCTAGGCTTCCCGTTTTTCTGCCTGGTCGCTGAACCTGATTCATGGACAACTGGATCCAAGAGGACTCTGGAGGAACAGCGACAGTTGTTTTTGCAGAGTCCAACTGTTGAGCACCCTGCAGTTTGGGCAACCCTGACCTGCTCTCGTAGACGCACAACAATAAAGGTAAGCTCAAAACACTTGTGGGACATTTGCGAAGCTGGGTGCGAAGCAGTGTGTGACCTTTACATCCCCGAGAAACCAGCAGGACATATATGTTTTTCTCGCAGAGCCGCAGAGCCCCCTGGCCCAATGTAGTCCCCAAAACTCCTCATGACGTCCACACTTTTGGCAAGGAGGGGACTCAAGCGAACCCAGTGGATCCAAGTTAACTATATGGTAGGTAACCAACCGTTTTCCTCTTTTTTTAAGGCTGGTTCTCTTGGTTGCCTACGATTATACGAATCACTGGGGCATGGACACAGTTCGAGGATTCCCAAACCTTTTGCACCCAGAAAACACGGCACTTCAGCGCGCAACAGGCAGGAGATCGAAGACCTGGACCTCACCAGCATCGACGCCTTTGCCTATGTTTTGCTCGCCAAGCTGGGCTCGTTTAAGCCCCTCGCCTTTCTCTTCTTGTTGAAAACAGGCAAATGGGCGATGTCCTTCTCAGATACCCCTCAACTTGTGGTCTTGATTGGTGGTTTGGGGATCTCAAGCCCTGGTTCTTGTGGAGGGTGAATGGGAAACGACCCCTAACTCCAATCCACCAATCCAAAACCACCAGTTTTTGGAAGGAAGCTGATCTTTCAGTTTCCCCTCAATTGGTGTGGATTGGCGCGGGGGTCTGATGCCCGGTTCCTTTCAGGATGGTTACCTTTGACCAAACCAAACCACCGATCTGGGTCTTTGACAGTTTAGTAAGTCAGAGCCCACATCTCACCTCCCTCAAAGATCAAATTCTCAAACTATCAATGCAAACCGCATATTGGCGGGAACATCTACCAACTGGTTGCTGCTAAGTGAGCGTAAACAGTGCTTTGCTAAAAAGATCCGACCCTACATATGTTTTTTTTAAGGGGCTCGTCCTCCTCGTTGGGGCCAGAAAGCCCGAGCTCGTTGTTTGCCCTCGCTGGTTGAATGGGGAGATGCGGACTCTGTCCGCAACAAACTTTGGGACTGGATGCACACGAAATATGTTGTTTTTGCTGAAACTATGGGCAATGGGCTGTGACGACCCAATCCAACTTTAGGACAATGCTGGAAAGCCGCACGACATGGTTTCTTGATTGGTTCGAGGGACCTATTGCTTCAACCTTCGAGCTTCCATGTTTGAGTTTTGGTGACCAAGACCAACACCAAATAACATCAAGGACCAAGGAGGGCTCTAACTCAAGTCCTGCCAATTTCGCCATCTTTGAGGATCGACCGGGCCCTG